TTTGCCGTTTTACCCAGCCGTTTTCGAGATATTTCCATATGCAAAAATGTAATAATATTATCTAATTGCGACAATTTATCAAACTGTAACATCAAATAAAAATAGATTGGAACAAAAAATGCGAAGAAAATCAATTAAATGCAACACCAACACAAGAATATTTCGAAACGAAACATCGCCGCAAACGTTTTTCAAGGTGAATCATGGAAAACAAATTTTACTGAAATGTAACACGCGGTGTTTCACTTTGAAAAATTCTCTGCCGATGTTACACTTAAAAAAAAAATTTTTTTTTGGTGTTTCATTTGAATATGCTGTGGAAATATGTATTATTTTCAATCTTACCCATTCAAATGAAGTAGAATAATTTTGTTCGTAATGAATTTCTCATACTTCTTAATTTCCATCCATTTTTGGTAGATATTTTTCCTTTTTCAAAATTCTGACCACTAATGAATATTTATCTTGTTATTTCAGGTCAATACAGTCCGGCTATTTGTTTAATAATAGCCTCGTACACCGGCTGTAACCGTATCTTGACAGTATTCCTGTTAACGTTGGGTGTTGGTTTCAACGGAGCTATTTATTCTGGATTCAAAATCAATCATTTAGACATAACGCCACGATTCGCCGGCATTCTCATGGCATTTACCAATTGTACTGCGAATCTGGCGGGTCTATTGGCGCCAATTATTGCGGGCAATTTAATCAATAATAAGGTGGGAAATCGCAATTGAAATCTTTTAAAATGTGTATTTTGCACATGGAATGACCGATTTCTGTTTCAATTTACAGCCAACGATGGGCCAGTGGCAGATAGTATTTTTCATCGCAGCTGGTGTGTACATTGCATGCGCCACATTCTACAATTTCTTTGGCTCGGGTGAACGGCAGCCATGGGATAATCCATCGAATGATGCTCCCGCAGCGATTCCAATCCGGCAAATCAACGGAACAAATGGAGTGCAGGCGAATGGTGTGCTACGTCACGGGACAGTGCCGCCAAGTAATGGCCAAACACAGCTAAATGGAAATGGAGTTCGTGAATCAACGCAATAAACGGAGACCGCCAAATTCCATATCCAAACCAACAAATGACGAATTGTGTGGGCCAAAGCCACATTTTTGCCTGAGCACATTCTTCAAACAGCACACATATAAATACGCCTCTGTTTCGATGCAATTCCTCTTTCCAATTCCTAGTTCTCCTTATTCAGTTTTTCTTTCTCTTTTTGTTTTAATTCTAATTTTATTTTCTGTTTTGGATGTTTTTTTGTTAGAAACCGAATTGTATAAATTAATCAAAGTTTTTTGTTAAGAAAAAAAAAAAGATATAAAATTTTAAGTTGAACTCGATTTGACTGATAAATGTGGCGTTTTCGCTCATCAAAACACTAAAAGAAAAGAGAAAAAACAATCCGTTCCTGATGCAGAGGATGTGGAAAATGCCGCATGCATATATATAAATGATCCCAGTACAACCACACAACAACAACAACAAATAACAAGATCATCGACAACAACAAAAGTTAAAAAGAAAACCTGTGTCAATCGAGTGCAAATATTGAATAAGTTTCCAAAATGCTTCACTACGGAAAGCAACCGAAAAAAAAAGTTTAGCCATAAACCTATATTATTTAAGTCGTCTCTCCTGCGCATGCCACTGTGATTGAATTAAAACTTGAAACTCAAAAGACAAATACAATTTGATGCAGTTAAATCAATCGCTCCGTTGCAACGGAGCAAAAGAAACTAGCAAAGAACGGATAATTTTTTTTTTTTTTTTTTTTTTGATATTGAACGAATGAAAGCGGAGAATAAAGTGATGTAAACGATTCATTTTAAAACCGAGAGAACGATATGCATCAGATGGTCCTTTATCTTTTACAAATTGTCAAACTGCAATCACCGTGTGTAAGAATTGTGTTCTGTTCTGCTGAAAGGAAAAATTGTTAAAGAGCCCGTATTTTTCGTATGTGTGTGTAGAAGAGAGAGAGAGAGACGTTTCACATGTAAATAAAAACACAAGAATGCCTTTGAAATTTTTATAAATTTTTAGATTATTTTGTAGTGATCAGCAGGACAGACTAGTGCGAGTGAATTTTAAGACAAACAAAGTTAAATGAAAGAAGAAAAGAAACATATGAAAACTTGAACGCTGAGAGGAGAGAGTAGATAGAGAAAAATATATATATAAATTTAAAAAAAAACCAAGTAAATAGGAACTTTTCTTTTAAAAAATGCTAAGTGATAGAATTTTACGGTTTGGATAAGAACACACTTGTTATTAGAGTCTTTTGGTTAGCCAAATGAAATATGTCTTAGTTCCAATACGCGTAGTCTAGCTTTTATTTTGCAAATATTTTATTATACGCATCTAAATACTATTTATTAATTACAACTATCGAAATACAACAAAAATCAAAAACTAAATGAATCAGTGAAAATCAATGCCACTCATTAAACAAATTTTTTTCTCGGCAGGAAAAAATGTTGAATTTTTACATTATAAAATATTGAAGAAAAGAAAAACAACAGAAATGCAAGACTATTTGTAAATCATTTTAATGCATGTATTTTGAAAATAAATTGCAGCCTCTACAAAATGTACCGTGGACACCAAAGCTGCCGTTCGAAATCAACAAACACGTTTCATACTCTTGAGTGCTTTTTTTACCCAATTTGATCCGTTCTAAAATACTTGAGTAATTGATCTGTTCTCGTTTTAGGGCCTTTCGTTTCAGAATTTGAATTAGACTGCATAAAATCAACGCTTTTGATTTTTGCGGCTTCGATATTTGCACCACTGTTTATGGATTTCAAAGAGATCTCGGACCACGTTCAGGCTGTTCACATCGTACAAGTGTCATTACCGCAATCATCATCATAGTTTGCAAACATTCTATTGAAATGAGCCAATTAACAATTCAAATTCAATATTTTCTACAAAAATAAAAATCAAATGTTTTGATTTAAATTCGTGTAATACATACAATCGTTGGTTTAGTTTCGGCATTTGCACACCTTCTTTGCATTACAGTAACCACCACGGTATCCGCGTCGAAGAGAAATGCAACTAGCTGCACATGCCGCTCCACTGAATGGTGAAAATGAAAGTAAATCACATGTGGCACGCTTTTGTCGCAATCCATGCACTTCAGGTTGCACATCAGTCACAACATTAATATCATGCTCAACTGTACGATGAGAAGATCTTCTAAATTAGTGATAATTGTTGAAATTATCTAATAATAGACTTATTAGTTAGCAAATTAAAATATGAAATAGTACGATCATACGATGGAATTTACATTTTGAGAAGTTTAAAGGTTACGATTTCAAACGAAAAAAATGTAAAAATTGCCATTTTTGCCAATCTCTTTATAAATCCCTATCAAAGTCCCTGGGTCACAAAGAAAAATTTAGCTTTCATCAAAAATTATATTTTTGAATATATTAATGTTGACATTTAAATTATTATTTATCAAAATACTCACCGATCGGGTCGACTTCGTATTCAAATGGCATACCTAATGTGGCGGCGGCGTATGAAGACACAGCCAACAAAACGACAGCTACGAGAAGAGTAAATAATTTTGAATTCATTTTTAATTTTATTTTTTTTTTAAGAGTTATTCAAATATAATTGATGGGTTTGAATGTGCACCGCTTGAGTGTGAATGAATACTGTTGTCTTAAATTGATTTGCTCAACGTATTTATACTAATCTCTCTGGTGCGATGTGCAGTCATAGCATGATGAAATGTGTTCTTGGTCGGGATGGGATTCCCACAGTCCTCAATGGAATTTGAAGAAAGCAAATCTCGTTTTTTTCTCCATTTCAATACATCTGAATAGAGGTAAATCAAGTCGGTCGAGGGGATTTTTTTTTCAACACAGCTCGTACGTAATAAAGATTACAACTACGTACGTCGTACTGTCTAATGCTTTTTGTTTACGTTTTGTGGAAAAGGTTCTGTACCGACTCGCGAATTTACATAATGACTCATCAAGTAGCACTTGAAATTCAACAATGAATTTTAATTACTCTCTTCTCAGTAGAATGCATAATAGAAATTCCACGAGAATTTCGATGTTCATTATTTTTGCTTCTTTCCGCAATCTGTTATATTGAAAGTATCCGATCTAGATCTAGATCTAGAGATATCAAAAAAGATTTATTTGAATTAAGAATTTGTCCATTTTGGATACTGATTTGAAGGAACGTCACAATATTTGTTCATTTTTTATCAGACAATTTATTCTTTGCGTTTTGCTGTTAATACAATTTCCAGCTTTATTTTCGATTTGCATTTCAGATTTACATTTTTCATCGCCAGAATGTGTCCTCTTGTGTTCATTTTCATGTTTTTTTGTTGTTAGTGTTTAGTGTTCACATACATGATAAATTTGATTGATCGTTAAAATTCTTAAGAACTAAGCAAAGTTTTCGAATATACACTATACAGTCACACAAAAAATGTCTTTATTTGGTAGAGGTGGACCGTAGCTGCGCAACAGGTACACTCTGTGGTCACGTTTGACGTTCACTTTGCCCTGTTTTTATTCTTTACAACAACAAATCATACACATTCTGTGTAGTTCGTTACACTGTACACAGAAATTCCATATGGCGCCAGCTGTATTAAATTGCTAGTTGCGCAGCTACGAGGTGGACGTATCAAAAAATGTACAGATTTGCCTATTTCCTTATCTTAACAACATACGTTGATAACTTTTTGTTTTACTAATATAATTTCGATATAATTTCTGAAATTATTGGGATAAACTATACTTTATTTAAACTAAATTATCTTATTTTATCAGAACGACAAGTTAATAACGCTTTTAAGATAGCAAAAAAGGCAAATCTGTAAAAAAAAATGTGGTCTAAACATGAGAAAGAATCATTTTTTTCGTTCCCACCAAGTTGTGTGAATTGGCATTTTTCTGTGAATACAAATACGTAATGTTATCGAAAATCTTCCACTTTAATTAAGGCAAAAATATTACTCTCTGTTCCAGATAGAAATGCAGAAATTGACTAATTTTGCTAGTCACAGCGCCAGAAAAAGTCTCGTTCTACTCATTCAGTATTACTTCTTTTTGGCAAACCTGAAACTATTTGTCAAATGCTTTCCCATAAGAAAACACATTTTAGTTTTATTTTTCAGTAATTTATTGATAAAATCAGGGGCAAGCATCTCTACAATATTTCCAGAAAAGTCAAGAAATATTATTAGTATCAACACATTCAATTTCGTTTGGACTCGTAGAATAAGTAATATTTAAAAATTTGTGTCAAAAGAAATTAAAAACAAATATGTAGTGTAAGGTGTGAAACTATTGCCAATAAATGGTCTTACCGTAGTAAGACGAACTTTTTCGCAGTGGGATCCAAATACTCTTTATATTCAGTGATCTGTTTCACAATCAATCCAAATAATAAATAACAAAATTACAAATAATTTATCAATACAAATAATTTAACAAAACATACAGAACTATTTCAAATGGTTTGATTTAAAATCAGATCTTTCAAATGAAAGTCATGTTTGTATTCATTCGTATAAAATTTAGATATCGATGAATAAAAAAATTATTTCTTAATATTAAAATGCCCTTCAAAACTAGTGATATTTAGAAATTATCGCGTCACGGCTTTTGGAAAAATGCTCAAATGTTGGATTAAAATGAATTCAAACGTTACTTTTAACTTTCATACAAAAGTGGTATTTTCCAAGGGATTTGGAACGAAAATGTAGAAATGATACCAAAGCCGTAGAGAAATAAATATTATGTTATTCAAATAGCACTGTTATTTTATAACAAAGACTGGAGTTTGCGAGATGAAATTTCTGAATCGTATGCGTTTTGCAAGCTTTATGCACAAAAATTCTATTCCAAGTGGAAAAAATATTACGAGTTGAAAATATCACCGCGAACAATTGCATTTTTGACCCCATTGAGACTTCAGATACGGTCGATTGAACTGGAAATCGATTCTTCATAAAAAATTAAGTGATATATAGTTGCCAATAATCTTTATAAGGTGGTTAGTTTGTGAGCTATGAGTACCGATTTTGTACGCAAAGTGTGATCATTTCGGAAATTTTCAATATTTTCACCTACAAATTCGAATTTGATACTGAAATCATGGGAAAATGATATAATCTTGCTCTCTAATTCTCAATATTTTGATGAAATAGCAGCAGTTTGATATGATGAAAACCATGAAGGGGGGCTATTTTAGGTATCTTCCATAGAAAAGTATGAATTTTCAGGGATTTTCAAAGGTTGGCCATAGGCTAGGTTATCCTAGGCTACATCTGAAGTGGGTGAAAATCTAATGGTTTCTAAGTCTTAACAAGCCCAAACTTATGCCATCACCAGATCTCATTTATCTCGACTGTCCGTTGAGCTATCGTGTTAACAAATTACATTAAAAAATTTGCGTACAACGTACAACGTACGACGTGGAACAGACTCACAAAACATCGCTCTAAAACCCATTTTTTTCGTGTTCTACGGCCTCGAAAACGGATAGAAATCATATTTTTGGGGTGTCTTAAAATTTGGGCCAAATGCAATACTTTTACGCAGTCCACGACATGGGCCTGCGAAAAAGTAATAAAGATCTACGGATTCACTCTTAATTAGTCACTCGACCAAAGCAGACGTGTTTTATTCGGTCTCTACCTTCACCTACCCATGACCTAGCACAACAGTAAGTCAATAGTAATACATGGCGAGTCCGACAGGAAATCCGAACCGTTGGCAAGTGCAAAACAAAGTGAATATAACGTGAGAAAGAAATCGAAAACCAGCAAAGTGACCGTGAGACAAATTTGTGAATTTACATACGATATTTTTTTTTCTCGATTCATTTTGCAAAACATACGAAAAATGGATGTATTTTGGGTAATGCTGGTAATTGTGCTGTTGTTCAAGAACGAGATTTGTTTTGATATTCGTCAAAAAAGCGTCAATCATAGATATCAGCATCAACAACGAGTACGCGACAGGAACGCGTTCCGCGAACGCGAAGCGCGCATCAATGATCTTGACTGAGCATCATATATCAAAACGAAGCGAAAAAAAAATAAAGTGAGAAAGCGACGATTTCTCACGTTTTATGTGAGACACATGATCGATACGAGAAATAAACAGTGAATTGAAATAAAAGTGATTTCTCACGTTGGATGTTTAATTTTTTTTTCCGATAAAACCCTATGGATGAATCAATGCATTAAGAACAATGGATGAATTATGTAAACAAGAAGCGATTTGTGAAATAAGCCGAATAAT